CGCAGAGCGGCTGGGCCTGTGAGCCATGGCCGCTGAGCCTGCATGTCCAGAGCCTGTGCTCCGCAGCGGGAGAGGCCACAACAGCGAGAGGCCCGTGAACCCAAAAAAAAAAAAAAGAGAAAAGCAAAGAGGCATGGATAAATCTGTTTGTTTCTTAACAAAAATATGACATATTCTATAACTGTTTTGCAACCAGATTTTTTTATATAATAATATAACACATAATAACAGGAATACCTTCCTAATTATGAAATATTTCTCCTAAAATACCATAACATTTTCAATGACTGCATGGTATTCCCTTGTATTTTTTTTCTATAGTTTATTAATAAATCTCCCATTACTAGACCTTTAATTATTAACTAATTCTCTCTTTAATTATTAACTAATTCTTTTATGTGTTTTAAATACATAAAATACAAATACATTATGTATTTGTAGAAATAGATGTTGGTATAGATAGGTAAATAGGAAGAAAGCGTATTATAAACTATGTATAGCATGATACATCTATTAAAAGCTATTTAAAAAGTTATATAATTCCACACACAAATATAATACAAGGATATACATAAATTTTTCATAGTAGTTGTCTTTGTCTACTGGAATTGAAGGAGTTTTTAATTTTTTTGTGTTCATTTTCATTTTCTACAATTTTATGTACCAGTTGTGTAATAAAAAGAAGAAAATAAAATGAGAAATGTAAAATCTATATATGAGATATTATTATAGGTTTGTACCCCTCTTCAAAAAAATGCATAGAAAAATACTACAAGGAACTATGTAAAATGTTAACAATGGTTGTCCCAGACTGCAGGGATTTTAGGGATTTTTATTCTTTATGTTTTACCTCCAATTTCTCTCTTTCTCTGTATAGCAATTTATCATTCCTAATATGAAAAATATAAAAGAAGGATTGCCTTGCAGTTGGGATGGGCTACATTCCAAAGCCCAGCAATAGAAAATAATCAGTATTAAAATTCACTGATTTGGGTTCTTCTAAGCCACAGTAGCTAATCTACTCTGATCTCTGATTAGTAGTTAATCAAATGACTGAATACATATGGCCCATGTTTCATCTTCTCAACCTAAAAAGCAGGTCATTATGCAGCCTATATTCAGAGAGGGTAGGACCAGAAGAGTATAGATAGAAAATTCTAAATTCAACCCAACATCTGGGAAAGACTTCTTCGCCTTCTGTCCCAGTACAAGCCGGGCTGAATGCACAAATCTTACACTTAGTAGACTTTACAGGCATGCCAGCAGACATGGCCAGCCCAAGTGATGCCCACATATTAGGAAACAGGGGCCCTTCTCTGTTAGAGTAGCCAAATTGTTGCAGGAAGCCCACTTCATAATGTGCATTTCAGACCGCTGAGGACAAGGCATTTGCCAAGGAGAGATGGAGGAGGGAGATGAGGGGCAGAGGAGCAAAGGAATCCTAATATAGGCAGGATACAGGGGTGGCTTTCCTACCCTGACAGCCTTACAGGCAGGAAGTAAGATGTGCTGACATCATCATGGGAGGAAGCTCACGCTGTCAGAGCAACATCTTATTATTGCAGAACAGTTGCCCAGTTTGCTAATTCTAACAACAGCTGCTATTTGTGAACCATTATTAGAAGTGCAACACTGGGCTAAACACTGCATGCATTCTTTCATTTAATCCTCAAAGAGCCCCATGAGGACGACACTGTTTTCCCCAATGTACATATAAAGAAACTGAGGCGTAGAGAAGTTAACTATCTCTATTTGTAAGATTAGAGTATTGAGGACATACTTATACTAAAAAGTTACTCATATTTCTGAAATTCAAACTTAATTGGCCACTCTGTACCTCTTCTCCTGCTTTATCTGCTACTCCCCTTTGTCACCCAAAGACTAGTTAGGTGCCTGCTGCACGTGAATCCCAGCCCTCGGCCACGTGGTGGCTGGCGTTGGAGCCGGGATGAGACCCAAGGTTGTCTGCTTCCAAAGCCACCCTCTGCAGGCACAGAGCAACACGCAGAGGAGCCGTCGAGTGTCTGCCGTCCAGAAGAGAAGTTAGAACGAATAATGAACGCAGGATCTGATAAGAAAGGCCTACAAAGGCATGCAACCACAGACATGATCTGTTTGGCCCAAACATGTTTCCTTAAAAAATGGATTAACATATACACACTACTATATGTAAAATAGATAACCAACAAGGACCTACTGTAGAGCACAGGGAACTCTGCTCAATATTCTGTAATAACCTATAAGGGAAGAGAATCTGAAAAAAGTATATATAGATATATATATCTGTGTGTATATATATATATATATGTATGTGTGTGTGTGTGTGTATATATATATGTATGTACATATACCTGAATCACTGTGCTGTACACATGAAACTAACACAACGTTGTAAATCAACTCTACTTCAATTTTTAAAAGATGGAATCAAAAGACTGCAGGTGGGGCATGCCATCTCCAGCTCCCCCGATGCCCCGCCCCCTTTCACTCATTCCCTGGGCACTGCCTACCTCTTGTAGACATTGGAGTCCTCACCCCTGTTGTATTGCTGTAGAGAATGACAGGGGTCACCAAGTGGTGTAGAGTCCTGGGACAGTACAGAGCTAAGAAAGGTCATTTCCAGCTGGGGACTCAGAAAAGAGACTGAAAGGGGAAAGCATTTGGATGAATCTCCTTCTCATTTTACTTCCCTGAGTACCACTAACAAGATGCACTGTGTAAATGAGATGCATTCATTCATCCAACTCCTATTTCTTGAACATCCACTATGCCCCAGGCACTGTTGTAGGTGTTGGAGATACAGTGAGGAACAAGACAGACCGAATCCCTGCCTCCAATGATATTTAAATCACTGTGAGGGAGACGAGATAATTAAATTGCCAGAGAGTGAAACGTACTCTGAATAAAAATAAAGCAGGAAGAGGGGATACAGAACGGTGAGGGAAACATCTTTCTGTAGGTTGGTTAGGAAAGACCCCCTCTGAGGTTGGGACATAAACAGAGGAGAGCAAAGTGAAGGAACAAATCTTGTCAAAAAGAGGGTAAAGGGCTTTCCTGGCAGAAGGAGCAGCTAGCGCAAAAGCCCTGAGGCTGGAGTGGGATTAACCTATACAAGGAGCTGTAAGGAAACCGGGTGGCAGGAGCACAGGAAGTGGCAGGGAGTGGGGTAGACAGTGAGATCATAAAGCGTGAGGACGTAGGGGTGCAGGTGACGGAGGGCCTCTCAGGTCATGCTAGGGACAGTGTTTCGTGAGGTGGGATGCTGAAATGAGGATAATAATTGGACTTACATCTCAGGGTTATTGTGAATATTAAGTAAATTCTCCACGGAAAGCGCTAACATGGTTACATCGTTAATTCTACATATGTTGCGACTACTCTTATTCAGTGTTCAGGATATATTATTATTGAATGATCCAATTTAAATGTAAGCTATAGATTTAACAGCCCATTGTCAGGGAAACCGTTTGTCTCAGCACAATAAATGTTTTCATTTTGAAACATGAGCTCTGCCTTCAGAGGCCTTGAGATTTATGCACTGAAGCCCTTGACATGAGCCAGTTTCCCTAGCAGTCCCTTCCATCGTGACCATCACCTCTCCCTGCAACCGCCCCCAACTGGGTCCCGCAAAAAAAAAAAAGACTCCTTTACCAGTTTCCTCTCACTGTCATTTTGATTTCCTCTGGTTGCCCTCCGCAGATAAAACTGTGAAGCTGTGGAAAGTCAGCGAGCGTGATAAGAGGCCGGAAGGCTACAACCTGAAAGATGAGGAGGGCCGGCTGCGGGATCCTGCCACCATCACCACCTTGCGGGTGAGCCCAACGGCTGGTTTTCCACCTTCTTTCAGTTTCCTTGGCAACCAAGGTCAGGGGAAGTGGAGGGGAAGTTTGGCTGCATGCTGGCTGCTGCTATAGGTTGCCCCTCTCAGGTATGAGGGAGGGAGATCAAGCAGAGACCCCGCCTACCTGAGCCTCTGGTGGTAGGTGAAGGAACAGGACAGGCACCAACCTCTGATGACTATAAATCCACGTTTCCTTTTGCCCCTGAGGACTTACCTGCAGGGTCACTGCCATGCATTACTATGTCCTTAGCCTCTGTCTGTTTGCATCATCTAACATGTCTTGAGCACCTTCAAGGTACAGGCATGGAACTCCCCAGATAGGAAGTTGGAGTCTTGTGATTCGGAACATGAACTTCTGAATCAAACAGGCCTGGGTTCAAATTCTGCCACTTACCAGACTCTCACGTAGTCACTCCCTTTTTTGAACTTCAGTCGTGCAAGTTATTTTTAGTTTCTCCATCTGCAAAACAGTGACCCTAGTACCTTACTGTGTGTGGGCTTCTGAGGCTAAAATGCAGTGAGGATGAAAAGCCTTTATTCCATGGCTGGTACTCAAGAAGTGATCTCTACTATTAGTCTTGGTAGCTTCCTTCCTGCTGTCCAGAAAAGCACAGTCTGGTAAGGAAAGAGGATGGGTAGGACTAATATGCAAATGTTTATGACGGTAACTAGAGTAAGATAAATGCAATGAGAGTCAGAGAGTTGCAGTTTGTTCGAAGGAGGGAGAATTTATATTTGGTTCTGGGAGACTGGGATATGTCTGTTAGAAAAATGGTGTTAGAAATGGATTTCTAAAAGCAGACTTTTAAAGGAAGGCTCTCTAGATAGAGATTAAAATGATTTGGGACTGGGTGATGAGTTTAGTTTTGGAGCGTTCATTGTGAACGGTAAAGCCAGGCACGTGTTGGGACCAACCCTGGCCCCTAGCCACTTCCAGAACTGGGTAAAATATGTGCTTTCAGATGCCAGCAGCTCTACTGAAAACGAAAAACTGCGAAGAGACACTCAAGTATCAATACCTGTGGGGAAAAGAGGTTGCCGCCCTGTGTTTAGAGGCAAATGTGGGAATTGAATGATCATCGTGTGCCTGATTAGCTGGCTTGTTGGTTTGTTCATTCCTTCATTCATTTGTTCATCTGTTTATTCAGCAGATGCTTTTCGAGCACTGACTCTTTGCGGCCCATAATGCTAGGCTGTCGTGTGTGTACCCAGTAGTAGTGGGTACCTGGTCTTCTACTGAGCTTCTTCTGGGCCAACGAGCATTGGCTGCTCTGTTTCCTCTCGTCCGCCTATGTCTTCAACCTGGAGCACAACCGTACAAGGTTACCTTATCAGACTGGGTCGATGCTCTAAATGCTCAGAGGTTTTGAGACTGGAGGACAGAACAGTGAAGAGTATGAACATTGGGTCACTCTGTCCTGGGTTAGAATTCTGGCTCCGTTTCTTTCTGGATGGTGGCCTTGGACACGTTTCTTAAAGTCCTTGTGCCTCCCATGTCACATCTGCACAACACGGATGAGGGATGGTCGCTACTTCCTGGGAGTGTTGTGAGGATTCAGTACAGTATTGAGTGTGACAGAGAGCTTAGCCTGTGTAGTGCCGCACTCAGTGATATTAGTTCCTACTGACGGGCTTTAGTCTTACTCTCATCACCATTATTTTCATGACTGTTATTCCCCCTAGTGATAGTAGGCCTATGTGTTTGAGAAAATTCCCATTTTTCTCTTCATACACTTTTTATACTCTTGTATTCACTCCTCAAGCTATTCACTGATGTCTACCAAGTGGCAAGCACAGTGCTGGTGATACAAAAGGAACAAGATAGTCTTTCACCCCTCAGGACTTTGCAATCGTATGGAGAAAACAGATGGATTAGGCACCACTGGGGAGTTTATAACGTGAACTTCTGCCCAGATGTTACCTTGCTCTTGTTCGCTATGTGGATGGAATTTCTCAGATGCCACCTCTAGTCCCCACTATGAATTCCAGTTGTCCATGCATCCAGTGGGATTTTGTATACTTGTATTTAGCCCCTGGGAGGATGCCATCCCCATGATGAAGAAGAAAGAAGGACTCTATGTAAGTTCCACTAGAACAGAGATTGTCCCCAAAGTGACACAGTGATGTTATGAAGTGGACTTGTACATATCAAACATGGAAGGAGGCCTTGAGGAGTGGCTGGGACTTAGAAAACCCCAGTTCTGGTTCTTGCGTCCTTATTAACCATCTGTGACCCTGGGCCAATGAATCTCATTTCTTCTCTCCGTGCTTAGTTTCTAAGCAACTGAGCAGAGGACTGGACAAAGTCAGTGGTTCTGCAACCATGGGTGTCAGTTACAAATGCAGATTCCCAGGACACAGCCTCAGTGATTCTCTTCAGCAAGTTGGGTGGTCCAGAGGGATCTGCATTTTTATCCTGAGCCCCTGGTGGTTGAGACAAAGGGATCTGTTATCCCTGGACTCTTATCATCTCTAAGGCTCCTCCACGCTCTGGTTTTTATGAGCCTCTGTTACTTTTCAGTCATTTCAAGTTATTGTACCAGCTCATGAGACACATTTGCTATCATATTGTAAAACTCGTATCTGATTTCATCTCGTCTACCTTCCTAGGCTTCAAGTATCCTCATTTCAGCGTAAACATCCACAGTCCAGTGTTCTTTCAGTGCAAACACTGAAAAGGCCAGCCTGCTTTCTTTTTGATCCCAGTGGTAGAAGAAGAACCAGGCAGCCCTGAAAACCATAGTTTCAGAACAATGACTCCAAACAGAGAATGAGCTGATGTGATATTAATCAGACCATAATTTAGTAACACGCTCTGCTCTTGACATTTGCATCGCCAGCAATTGTGGCTTTTTTTTTCCTTCCCTGTACGATGATTACCTCTCGTACACTTCATAGTTTCCAGTTCTACGTGGATCTTGAGAGTGAGAATGTTTAATAATACCCAACAGCTAATTAATCCTCACTGAGTAATGAACCTGTTCTGTTTCAGTGCTGGGAGGTTCAGCTTTTCGAAGTACGAATGTGGTTGTTTTTTTTCCTTTTTTCATGCAAGATAGCTTTGCAAATCCAATCACTCATTACCCAGAGAGACTTTGAGAAGCACTTCTATGGACACTACATCTCCTGCTTAACATTATAACATTCAAAGCAATAATCGTGATGATAGTTTAATAATAACACCTTATAAACTGTAAAATACCTTTTTTTTTTTTTTTGCGGTACATGGGCCTCTCACTGTTGTGGCCTCTCCCGTTGCGGAGCACAGGCTCCGGACGCGCAGGTTCAGCAGCTATGGCTCACTGGCCTAGCCGCTCCGCGGCATGTGGGATCTTCCCAGACGGGGACACGAACCCTCATCCCCTGCATCGGCAGGCGGACTCTCAACCACTGCGCCACCAGGGAAGCCCTGTAAAATACCATTTTTATCACAAAGTGTTTACTTACTTAATTCCCTGATTCATCTTCAGACCAGCCAAGTAGGAAGGCAGGTGAAGATGCTGGGATCTAGTATTTACTGTGCATTTACTATATGCCATGCACCATGCTGCACACTGTATCTGCATTGGCTACTTCATGAGGTACAGTTCACTGTTAAATACCCATTGAACAGATGCGCTTCACAGAGTTTCAGTGAGATGCCCAAGATCATGCTAAGCATCAAACCTTGATCTATGGGACCCTGAGCCCTTCAACCTGATGCTGCCTCAGAGAGGTAAAATGACTTGCCCAGTGTTTGTCAACTGCTTGTTCCAGAGCTGGGATTGAAAATCAAGAGCTGTGGCTCTTCAACTTGGACACATACATTGGGCATTTTAAATGCTTTTCTTAATAATTAGTGCCATTATTATTCTAGGTCAGGGTGTATGCATGTGTCTCTCTCTCCCTCCCTCCCCCTCCCTCCCTTTTTCTCTCTCACCCACACATTCACACACGGAGTTTCCATACCTCTGACCTCTGACCTCACCTTGAGGTCTTATGTACTTCCACTTAGCAAGATTCTCCATGCCCTTCTTTCCAACCTCCCAGTACCCACAGCTAAGAAGACCTCAGAGCCCTTTCTTGGCAACGGAAACTCATGGTTCGTATAACTTAATCAGCCCGGGAGGGGAGATGGGTGGTGAGAAATCATACGTAGCATACTTATCCGTGCAGAATGAGCCTGGAGTTACTATTTCCCTCGTTAGGATTGGCTGCCGGCGCCCTGGGAACCTAGGCCAGGTGGAAATGTGCTTTTGAACCAGTTACAAAAGAGTTACACAGAGTCTGTCTGGAAGGTGTGAGCTCCCAACCTGTGACACCATAACTCCCCAAAATGAAGGGGATGTAATGAACTCAGGTTTTCTAATGGATATTCCTTACAGCTAATATTAATAATAATAATAGCCACATTTTTGAGTGCTTACTGTATGCCAGGTGCTGGATTGTATACCCTTATACCATTCTGTCCTAACAGTAACTCTCTCGGGTTCTGTTATCCTCTCTGGATCATGCAAAGCCTCCCTCCCTCCTTTCATTTAAGTCTCTGCTTACGTGCCACCTTCTCAGAGAAGCTCTCCTAGAATTCTGTAGGGGAAGTAGCACACTCACATCTTCCCGTTCACTCTCGGTGTCCTTACCCTGCCCCTTTATTCTTAACTTTCCTCCTGGCCAGATGTATCATTGGTTCACTGTTGGCCTCCCCTCGGCCTCCCCTCCCCCTCCCCTGAAATGTAAGCTCCGTGAAAGCAGGAACCACGCGTCTCCTCTCCTGCAGCTCCGGCACATGGTAGGTATTCAGGATATGTTTGTCAAATGAATAGATTACATAGAAGTGGAAACTGAGTTTCAGAGTAGACAAGTGGTTGTTTGCTCCAAGATCTCATGGCTAGAAAGTGGTGGGGCTGGGATTCAAACCTAATCCATCTGACCCCAAATCTGACGCTTTTCATTATGATTCCCTACAGCTACATCCTAAGAAAATACTAATTC